GATAGAAAAATAATATTAAATAAACATTATTATTATTTAAATAATTAGTCAATTTTTCCTTTTCAGAATAAAATAAAACTGTAACTGCAGAAATAAAGATTAGAATAAAAAAAGGAAAAATGTTTCATGTGTGTGAAACAACTGCTTTAATGTGTGACTCCAACACAACTGATTTGAATTTAGAGCTTCTGTTGTAAACAATTTCCAGGGTTCAAGTTGGGTGGAGCTCAGGTTGACTCTGAGGAAGCTCAGGTTGAAGCTCAAGTTGAAGCTCAGGTTGAAGCTCAGGGTGGAGCTCAGGTTGACTCTGAGCAAGCTCAGGTTGAAGCTCAAGATTGCCATTACATACCTGCCCGTATTGTGTGTACAGTATATGCGTGTGTGTGTGTGTGTGGGGGGGGGGGGGTATTCTGTTTCAAAATATTGAAAATCGAGATCTTATCCGAATCACCACTAGTTAGTTAGTGTGTTGGTCCAAACAGTTACTAAATCTACTACCTATTTACAGTGAACAATATTCAATCAAGTTCAAAAGTTTGCGAAATTGACGTCAACTGAAGGTAAAGTAAACCATCCGCTGTTAACCAAGAAGTAAACAGTTTGATTGCGTTGACGACATTCAGGACGATATCAAGAAACCAATCTTACCACCAGTGTATTCACTCGCGTCCATCAAAAACCAATACCAAGAAAACACCACTAGGACGACAACAATGCGTTTCAAAATAGAAATTCATCATTCGACATGAAAAGTCAAATTCGTAAAAACCGCCTCTACGCATCAGGAAGTACGCAACTTCCTGGTATGGTTGAGGGCGCTGCTCAAAATAATTATTTTGTTTATTTCCGCGTCAAGCGACAGGACTGTGGCAAAGAAAGAACAATCAGTTTTCAAACTTTTTAATTTCTCGCGTAATTTATTGAGACTCTTAACAGTAATGCGTGCCTACAAGGTACAGAATGCTTCAAGATCAAAACGAGTTGGAATTGTGGCGAATAGTTTTGCTGATTTTCGTAAAAAAGGATGTGATAAACTCAAGGTAAAAAAGCATTATTTTGTAAAATATGTCAATCGAAGTTTCGATTACATTGTTACCTAGATTTAGTACTAGTATGTTCTCAGACTTACAATATTTGAAAGATTTTTTTGTTTGCACTCCTACAACTCAAAAAACAAAACAAAGCAGGAGACGTAAAAAGGGGAATGGCTTAGCAAATACTACAAACGAGGACTGGAGTGAATTTAAAGCGGGGGAGTCGTTACCTGAGCATGCGTCAGATGGACATAGCGTGTCAATGTTTACAAACAAGCGTCTACCCATGAGTCTTTGCGTTTTAGCGTGTGTTGCTGTCATCGCTTGGGACTTTATCTTAGCATAGCTGTATATTTGATATATGAAGGTAAATTAAAACACCCCAATGGTAGTTTGGATAGGGCTCCCTGGCTCATAACTTTAAAATTTGTCCACCAAGCTAAAGCATGAAAAAAAATTTGTCAACCAAAAACCCCCAAGAAACTGTTTAGAGATCTGTCTGACATGATAAATATGCCTTCAAAGAAACAGGAAGCTTGTATGCATCCTTTGGTAGCCAGATATTGTGAAGTCCTGAACTGATGTTTGGATGTTTTGAAAAACCTGAAATTCATTAGCTAGGGTGCCCTTTCCAGGCTTCCCAAGTTAGGGGCACTTTAATTTACTTAATCTATTTTGTGAAAATGCATTAATAAATATGTTCTTTGATTTTCTTGAAGGTGAATATAAAGACATGTCATATTTGTTTAGAGTCAGACGGAACTGAAGTAGATGATGATGATTACTTCCAAACATTACCAGCTAATACAGTGTTGGTGTTCTTAGAGAAAAATGAGGAATGGCAAGGATGTGAGTGTCATATAATTTACATGTCTGTTATGACTGGCACTGTTACCAATAATTTATATGGAATATGTTTACAACTGTGTCTAATAGACCTTAATTTTCATACAGCTTGATATTTCCACTACATGTTGGTTGATACGATCACTGTTCTGCCTTTGTACATACTTTGCCATATTCGCAATATTACTCTATAATATTATACATCATTTTGGTGTGTTTTGAACTTCAATGATAACAGCTTGTAGTTGAGAAACTCTCATGAGATTGAATTTGTACCCCCAATATTACCGGGATGTGTGGGGACTTTTGGAGGTCATGTAAAGTACCAGGATGTATGACCTTTTGGGTGTCATGTAAATTACCAGGATGTGTGACCTTTTGGAGGTCATGTAAAGTACCCGGATGTGTGACTTTTTATGCGTCATGTAAATTACCAAGATGTGTGTCCTTTTGGAGGTCATGTAAAGTACCAGGATGTGTGACCTTTCTATAAACTATAAAATGTCCATGAGAGATTAGGTTGAATAACATTTCATTTTCACAAATGTCAATTTGTTTCCACCACACTTATTTAATATTTTTTCCCAACCAGAATTTTTTGGTTAATTTTGCAAATTTTTACATATTGATATTTAATTTGTTGTTGTTAATTTTGAACGAAATGGACATAACATTCTATTGTGATAAAATGTGAAAAAAAATGATTAGGTTCTATTTTGTGTATGAAAAAAGTGACTCTTTGGCTTTCATGGGTTTAAAAATTATTTTAAATTCTATGCTAATCTTGAAATATTGATCATTGCTTTTTTTTTTTACTTAGATTCAGCCCTTTTGACAGATGTATTTTCAAAGTTATTGAAATCAACAGACCGTACTAAAATTGCTTCTGATATTAGGGATTTTTTAAATGACAAAAATGATTCCAATGAAAAATATCATTTGATGTCAGAGTTTGTCAGCAAATTAGAATCTAACACAGAAGCTGAAGAAAGAAGTGATGACTTAAAATGGTTTGAAGGTATGCTACATTGTATTATACCAATATATCAGTACCATGGTTAAAACATTTCCTGCTGAAAGACTAAAAGATAACTAAAATAAATAGGGAAAAATACCATCAACAAACAAGGGTTAAATAGAGCTTTGTTATGCATGGTTACAGTTTGTCTAGGCCCTAAGTACTCCATGTGTGATGATGATGGATTCTCCTGTTGATTCAACAGATGAGTAGGCAGACAAATCATGAGTCGTCATGTGACCCATTTTGGTTGCACACGATCAGCCAAAACTGTTGCAGGAAAAGAACAGACTGTGGTAGAGTGCACTGTGCTGTTTCTTCCTCTCCTTATTCCCATGAATGGTAGTTACTCTGTTGGCCCTACATGTAGTTTCTAACATGTACTGGTTTTTGCAAAGCGTTCTGTCATGGGTAACAGCTTTCCAGGAATTGATTCAATATCGCAACTCCTAAGGCTTGCCTTAGTTGATTTTTATTGAATCAGTAATACTGTATGTTTTAAAAATTGGTTTGAAGTTTGTTTTGTGAGAAAATAAACTATTATAAATGTTGGACATTATGATATTTAGAGTGACTGGTGACAATTAAGTCACTTTGCTTGAATCTAGATTTTATAGTTATTACACTATTTTCCGCAAATTAACAAGATTTATGTCTGTTTTGTAGGTTTGGTCGTGATTGAGTTTTCAGGATGTTAGAGTGTCATCAAGTCACCGATTTGCATGTTTAATGATCGACTGATATTTCAAAATCAATGTTCAATGTGAAGCATTTACTCCCAAGTCTGGGATGCAAACCCTCTTGATTAGCCATTTGAATTTTAGAACTATTTTACCCCATGCATCCTGAGCAAACTTTCTACATCAATTATTCTGTACCTACTACCATATGTAGGTTTGTTGTGTAGTAGCATGCTCCTGAAGCAAGAAGCATGACAGGATTTATTGTAGTGAAGACAAATAATAACTTCAATATAACTCACGATTGCTGTCACTTTCCAATTCGATTTTTGGCCAAGATACTAGAACTCAAAATTAAAGGAGTTTTCACCTAAGTTTGGTCAACAATACAACTTCAATATTAAATCCCTATGTATTGTATCACATCATATTATTATTCTTTTACTTTATATAACTGGTAATATAATATTTGATCAACCTACTTATATGATGTGATTTTGTTTAAGGTGTTGACAGCAGATATCAAACTAAAGACCAGGTTATGAAGATATCAGCACAGGGAAGAATAAGAAAGTATTTAACCGGGGTAAGATATTCAACGTAATTAACCTTTTCACCACCAATATTTCTGGAAATGAACCCTAATTTTAGAGCAAATAGACAAAGTTTGAGTCAATTTTCAGTGAAACAAAATTATAAAAAAATATGAAAAACATTAAACAATATTTTTTTCAGTATAAAACTATTAGTAAATTACAGTCTAAAGTTACAGATCAAAAACTTTTGTCATTTCATAATATTATCACAATAACCAAACCATATTCTTATAATGCTTGGTTTATACAGTTCTTCTGAAACAGATGCTTTATTAGATGCAGATTAATGCTTTGACTCTGCTGAAACTATTACCGATAATTTGCTCTCACTCTTGTATTCACTTGAGACAAACATGTTATACATCAATGCTGCAGTGTGGAGAAAATGCTGTACTTCATGGTTACATACCATATGACCAGTCAGCCCTCTAACTGATTTTGTAGAAATCTTGATTCAAAATTCAATGGCAAAAAACATATTGGGTCAGCTTATTGACTACAGGAGAGAGAAGTCTTAAAGTGATAAATCTATATTTTATGTTGCTGTAGGTGGTTTTTGAAGATAACTGATTTTGTAGAAATCTTGATTCAAAATTCAATGGCAAAAAACATATTGGGTCAGCTTATTGACTACAGGAGAGAGAAGTCTTAAAGTGATAAATCTATATTTTATGTTGCTGTAGGTGGTTTTTGAAGATACCAGCTTTAAATTATGTTCCTGATTTCTTTCATTTTCAACTAGGATATATATATACATGTTGTAGAATATTTTCCAAGGTAACTTTTTTCAATGTATGAATGATATGCCAGGAATTAGCGCAATTATTTGCATCATGAAAGTTCACTGTGTCTCAATGATCTTTCATATTATTGCGTAAAGGATGCACGAAAGTACTTTTTACATACTTGTACCTTTTTTTATTATTTCAGGCTAAAGAACATTTTGAAAAAGATGGGAACAACAAAACAAAGGCCATATTGCAGCAATTAATAAAAACATTCCAAGAAGAATTGAAATGGAATGAATATTACGGTGATTATTTTCGAAGATCAGCAAATAAATCACTGCGTTTATGTGACGATGCTGGTTGGTTTCTGTGTAAAGGCGCTTATGATGTCAACACGTGTCAATATCGTCATAGTATTAACCCATATAGTAATAAAGAAGCCAGGGTTTTATTTAGTACATGGAACTTAGATCATGTGTAAGTATTTAAGATTACTGTGAAATACTTTATTTTCGCTGGAATAAATTTCGCTCAAAAGGCTTTTTTAGCGTTTTGCTTGGAATTTATTTTCACTGATTTTTGATGAGTTTAATGTGATATAGGAAAAAATGTGTATTCGCTGGATTTTATTTTCACAGAATCATCCCTTCAGCGAAAATAGCGAAAATAAAGTATTCTACAGTATTTTAGTAAATGATCAAATTGGCATTCACGCAATTTTACTCTGTTAGATTTAGGCAGAATATGGTGTTACGGTTGCAAACACTATGTATTGTACACATATTGTGTTCATCACATTGAGTCCACACTGAACATTATGTTGCACAATAACTGGCGATTTATTGAAGAGGGGCAAGGGGGGATACCTGGTACCGGTTACAGGAAATAAAATGAAAGTTCCATTTACAGTAAAAAATTGGTTTTTACACTTTACAAATAAAGCATATTCCTAATTACATTTTACTTATTTATAATATATCTGATAATTTGTGTTTAAGATTTGTTTAAAAATTTGAAATTGCGTACGAATTACAGCATTTAATGTGGAAAATGCTATATACGCTTACAAAAAAAAGATCTTTGTACAAATCACGGACAAATAAAATAGCTGATTACATTTTACACCTTGCCCATGTCTACAAATTTACGTTTTTTATTAGCTCCGCTGTCGACTTTGTCGAGCGGAGCTTATCATATGAGTGATTGTCCGTCGGCGTTCGTCGTCCGTGTCAATGTTTTACTTTTTCGACTTCTTCTTGAAAACTACTAGCCTGAATGTTTTGATATTTATTGTATATGTACCTTGGGTAGACCTCTCTCAGATTTGTTCATTTCATGATGGTATCTTCAATTCTCTAATTTTGATGTATTTTTTTGTTATTTTTGGTAAAAAGTGATATTTTCGACTTCTTGTTAAAAACTGCAAGTCCAATTGCTTTGATATTGCATATATAGGTACTACATGTGGACCTCTCTCAGATTTGTTCATTTTGTAATGATATCTTTAATTTTCTAATTTTGGTGAATATTTTTGTCATTTTTTGGTAAAAAGTGATATTTTTCGACTTCTTGTTAAAAACCACAATCATTTATGGTGAAAAATGATATTTTTGAATTCTTGTTGAAAACAGCAAGTCCCATTGCTTTGATACTATACATATTGTTCATTTTCTAATGATATCTTCTGTTCTTTAATTGAAATGTGCATTGCTAACAGCGGAGCTATCTCAGCCGAGAGGCTGCTTGTTAATATTTAAATTGCATGTACAATATTACAAAAATAAAAACAACTGATTACAAAAATACCCCTTGCCTACCTTCTTTATAAATTTCTTTTTATGCATCACATACATATGGTAGTCTAATTCCTGTTGAAATTGACAATGTTTTTCCTTTTTACACCAAGGATTGAGAAATCACGAGATATATTGCCATCAATTATCAAAGCAGTTAGAAGCATTCCTCGAGGAAAAGAAATCAATTGGGAGTATTTTTATGAACTTTTATTTACAACAAAAAATCTTAAATTAGTTCATATAGCGTGTCATAAAAAAGGCAGCCATGAGGGCCATTCATGCAATCCCAAAAAATTTTATATAAAAAAATCTTGATATTATTTTCATGATTTTTTTATTATTTTGTTTATTATTATATATGATTTAGGGAAAGGGGAAACTAAATGTATTATAAGTGATTGAGATCTCATCCAGGACACATACTCTCTCGTTATTATATTCCAAATGTTTCACATTCATCTACATACTGATCAGTATGTGTTCTGTAATTTCATTTGTATACAGTATACAGTAAATCTTTGCCATGATTTTTTATTTATATGGTGTCTTACCTGTATGTGTTCAGCTATTTCAGAATACTGTAATCTGAGTTGATGAATGTTGAAAACTTTACAGAGCAGAACGAATAATACATTCTTTAAGATTTAACATTTTTTTTATTAGTTGATTACTCCTTTCCCATAATTTTTCATTTCTCATTTATATAGTGTCTTACCTGTATGTGTTCTGTTATTTCAGAATACTGTAATCTGAGTTGATGAATGTTGAAAATTTTACAGAGCAGAACGAATAATACATTCTTTAAGATTTAACATTTTTTTTATTAGTTGATTACTCCTTTCCCATAATTTTTCATTTCTCATTTATATGGTGCCTTACCTATATGTGTTCTGTTATTCCAGAATATTGTAATCTAAAGTCAATAGCTGTAACTCTTGATCTTTTTTTCTCTGATTTATATTTTTAATAAAATACTTCCTGTGTCATCAGTGTCAATTTGTGATGGCCATTTTCAAAATGTGGACACTTAAAGCATAGTATATACACAATATTGTATGTTAAATTACTTGAGAGGGGCATCTACTGAAATCCATGTTTTGTCAAGTGAACCTCAGGAATTATGGTACAAGATACTTATTATAACTTATTTGATCATCTTAAAATTTTCATATTTTTATACTGGATAATACTTTTCAGTTGACTACACCTTTACCATCATTTTCATATTTCCCATTTATATGGTGTCTTACCTGTATGAGTTCTGTTATTTCAAATTGTTTGTACATTGTTGGAATAAACTCTATTTTGATATTCTTTCATAAGTTATGTATTCTTTGTATTATTTACTGTGAGTTTTGCAGCTGAAGTGTAGTCCTCTGAAGGATAAAAACAATTAAGATTTGATAACAGAAGACTTTTTTTATATATTATATGGTGCGTGTATGGTGAAACAAAGTTATATTTGGATACAAAATAAATTGAATGAGTGTTTGTATATTATATGCACTTCTATTAGAGCAAATTCAAATTTTGTTTCTTTAATGACAAGTCCCCCATGTTTACTGGATGTTGTAAAAATATACAATGTATGTCTAGTGTCATTTCACCTTTGTGGTGCAATTTTCCGATAAAACTATTTTGTTGGTATGATGACAGTCACTCTACTATTAGAGTGACTGTGGTATGATAAATGCACTTGTCAGGTGAGAATGCACTGTAACAGATGCACAGAATTAGCAGTATCAGCTCTTCTTTTCTGGAGCTATATAAAAGTATCTTTTTACTTTTTCTGCAACATCTTCGTTTCTTCCCCGCAAACGTTGTGTGTCGAAAGTGCATTTCAATTGTACATTTGTTTTTATTGTTTTATAGTCTTCTTGTTACATGTTGTCAGCAAGGATTCATTCAATAAAATTGTAATATTAAGCTTTGAGGAATTCACTGCTCATGGCATCTTTTCATGTGTTCAGTTTGTTTTCTTTACATATCCAGACATAGACTGGTCTCTCCATGAATCAGACAGTATACCCTGGCACTGTAAAAGATATCTCAATGCTTGACCTAACTGGGGATAGAGAAAAAACACAATGCAGGCTTCCATTCCCCTGGCAAAGGCTGCAACAGAATCAGACGTTATGCGTCTCATTTGACTACACAGACTGCATTCTGGAAGAGACCATGAGAATTGTAGGAAATTACACAACTTCATTTCCTACTTTTGAAGGACCTCTTAATTTTATATTTCAGACTTGTTATCAATTAGATATCACTATCTGTCACAGTGTAAGGCCTGCTTTTCACAATTGAGAGGGCCACCCACAGAACTCACTGGACAGGGGGTTCTTTCACTGCTAGTATGGGGTAAACAGGACAATAGTACTGGAAATGAAATACACATACACCAAAATATTGAGTTAAAGCTCCTGGCTTTAATACCTCTCAAAATAATTACACAAAATAATTGTCATCCAGCCTTACATGCCTATTATTTAAGCTTCTGCTTCTTGTAACTGAGTTTTCTTTGAGTTACTATATGTTGCATTATACAACTTTCTTACATTTTTGGCTAGCAGGTTTGAAAGTTGTGCCTGCAGGGTTTTTTCCATAATTCAGACTTGATCGATACTTGTCTAAGTTACATAACATTTAACTATTATTCAAATAGTGACAGTAATTGCATAGCCATCTCTGTTTTAGTCTTGTAGTAATTAATGTCTTTTGCTCCTTTGGACATTAATTACCTTACTTTTGTTTGTGTACGTTCCAAATAAAATACATCATATCATATCATATCATATAACTTTGATTCGAACAGTGTAAGTATTTGGCAGTAAATTAAACAATAAAACTGTCTAATTAAAAGTAGTTTTTCTAAATTCATGCATTGGTCAATATTCGCAAAAATGGCATGTAGTTATTTTAAAGTGTTTCATAGTGTGTCACCCACAAAAGAAACATGTACTAGCTACATAAGAAAGATATATATGTTATATATGATCCCCTATCACATGTAATGAAACTAAAAAAACATATCAAAATATGCCGTTCGTGAAGTAAAGCTCAAAACCGTACGATCAACATATAAAACTACTTTAGATGAATTTGCAACAGATGGTAGACCATCACAAACATTAAGAAAAGAGGACCCAATAGCGAGCCCAGTGGTACTGCAGTGTGGAAAGGGATTGTGAGCTAATGACTTCTGGAGGCTTTATTGAGAGAACTGTTGTAACTGAATCACAATATGGAATCCATGGTAACAGTATCATGATCATCTCATGCCAATATCCAATTAAAATGAAGCTGATTAGATATGCTGGTACTACCTCAATTACAACGGGATAGTACAGAAGTTGCATATAAACATTATGCATATTATTACTTTAATTTGCCAGCCAACCTAATTAATTTTGTTTAAGTTACTCGTACATTATTTTCTAGGGAATAAATTCCATTTATAGCATCATCCTGAACCTGACATATGATTATGCAGTACACTGTGTTTGTGTTTTTGACTTGCTATGTTTGTGTCATGATACATTTAAGGATACAACAGGAAATCAAACAAATTACGTACATGCTCAAAATTTAAGAAAGATTTTTGTTATGGACAATATTTATCTAAGTTGTAAATATTGAACAAAGAATCATTTTAACAAAATTCAAAATGTGATGCAGATTGAAATTGTGCCCATGGAGTGACTTCTAGTTTTAGTCGTTTCTGTAGACTTGCATACAGTCTATTGTTTGTTTTTTGTGTTTTTTGAATAATATATTATGTGAGTAACAATTGGTGAAAACTGGGTCACCACAAGTCAGTATACCCTGTTTCCTTGCTAACCTGTTTTAATGACACAACGCCAAAAAATAAGAGACTGTATGCAAATTTATCATATCTTTTAAATCAGATGACTGGATTTCTGGAATATTCAAAGTTAAATAGTCTAAATCGTATCTGCATTTCCACAAATAACTTAGTAATTCAATCTACAGACAACTAAACATAACTTAACAGAACATCATGATTCAATCAGTTAGGTATTACATGTACTAAAATATATTATTATGTAATTATTAAAAGATAGATATCGTTACTTTATGTTAAACATAAATTGGTGTAGAAACATCAGATGAAATGTTATAGTACCAAAACTGATATTGAATTACGAAAATCAGCAAACTTATTACGTGGTTGAATTTGAATATTTTTTAGATGGTACTCAAAGTAATTCAACTTATTTTGGTGGAAACAATTACTATACTTGAATATAACTACTTATATTGCCAGTTTTTAAGACTCAATTATGGCGAACACTGGAATGGAATATATCTTGAAGAGAGAATTAGGAAAATGACCTCACATGGTCGCCGTTGATGCAATCCAACATGTCCATTTATCATCCAAGTGTGACAAGTTTGATCGGAGCTAAAATGATTGGAGATATCGTAATTTCAGCTGCAGTGTTTATTATTTGTTTAATGTTGAGAGTCTGAGTTGCGAGAAGATTCACATTGTATGCTTTCGCGTAGTTGAATAAAAAAAAGAGTTAGAGCCAACTGTACCTTCAACCACTGCTCTGCTTGTAGATATTGGACTGAATCTATCGTGTTGCTTGTACCTCTGCATTGTGTTATTGGAGTGAATACGCCGGGAAAGAGACCTACAGTTTTGGCAGTAGAGAATCCTATCCCGTGTGACCTAGGTGAAACCTAATTTTTGACCGTGACCTTCACAGTCGTACAAAAATAATCCCATAGCGACGGTTACACTTTCGTCAAAGAAATAATATCATTGAATGTTCACCTTACTCCATATAAATGTACAATCATCTATTTGTATGACTATTTCATTTTGGTATACCCATCTCAACAAAGAATCTACTCATCACGGACAGATGACTATACAAACAACTCTTTCCTGTAAAATGCTATATCTCCAAAGGCACATTCGGAGACGCATTCTCAAAGATCATTATCTTGTAAAGCAACAGTGAAAAGATCAGAAACATAGAAAAAAGCAACACCGATAAACGGCCAATCCCGCAAAAAAAAAATAATGTTAAGGAGGTCCAAGGGAACGATCGTTTAAACTGCGTCTCGGAATGTTCATGTGCCTCAAAGTTCTGGAGAACTTTCGTTCCGTTCCGTTGAACTTTATAGACTACATTTCATGAACGTCTCCATGTTCCCGTGGCCGTAACTCAACGTCAACGTCCATGAAACATCATATTTTAGCCCATTTTGTGACAAATAGATTGTGTAATTTGTACATCGCTAGCGTAAAGAAAGGTGTTAAAAGATGGATATATTCAATA